AGTTTTGTTGTGAGCTGCTTAACAGGCTGGGTCAACCATCTGATTTCCTTCCAAAATTCATTACTAAAACTCTGTTTTTCGTATCATTTATTCAAATGATTTTCCTCATGTTGGAGTCTTTTAAACGTTGACCTGAGATGGCCCTCRGTTCATTTTTTGCCCGTGTTTGATCCATGACTGTTTCAGTGTGAGGATCGAGGTTAAATCTGTGAGACAGGTCAGGCTGTGAGTACGAATGTTTTTATTTACAGTCACCGGTGGAATTACTTTAGCTTTACTGACTCAGCACGTTTTTCACCTTGTGTGTGGTGTTTCACTACTCACACAGGGTGTGTTCGTGAACTTCACATTTGTATGTAGGACGGGCGTATATTCCACAGTAAAAAAAAAAGACAAGTTAAGCACTAAAACACCAATGTGTTAAATCAACCTTCTTGTTGTGTATCAGTTCCTCCAGGGAAGTGAAAAAGGGTCAAGTTCAGCTGTTTTGTSATAAACATTCAGTCTCCTGTTTGTGTTAATTTTAAATTTTTATTTAGCTCTCTGATAAAAAAGGGATATTTCTAGGCATTCCTCTAAAGAATGCAAATTTCAAGCCCAAGTTTCAACTAAAACCATCATTGACTAACATCATTAAATCATGAACATAACTTTATGAGTGATGTCACGCTCAGAGGTGGATAACTCTCAGCCACTTCATCAAATGTTACCTCAATATCTGTAAAACTGACYGAGTTACAGCCATTTTTGTTTTGGGTAATGTCAACTAGCTGTGGCGGCCATCCTAAACTGTACTGACTCCAAAGGTTAATCAGTTGTAAATGTATATCCTGTGATCCATTTCTGAAAGTTTCAGTGAAATCTCTCTTGTGGTGCATGAAATATTTTGCTAACAGACAAACATGATTGACACCGAGAGTTAATACTGATTTTTTTTAAGCAAAGATCTTGCACAATGTGTGGCCCTTAGGAGTAAGTGCTGTGAATAAGTCCCRGCTACTACCACACCAGATGTTAGCTCAATATGATGTGAATTGACTGAATTATAGAAAATTATGCGTTTTTTTTAATCAGTTGTCTGTGACGACCATCTTGAATTTGATTGTCTCCAAACTTTAATCAGTTATAAAGATACAATCAGTGATTATTTTCTGAAAGTTTAGTTGAAATCGGTCCTCTTGTCCWTGAGATATTTTGCTAACAGACATGCATAAAGCAACATTTTAAACCACAAACTCATTCAATCTGTTACCACTTGGATAATATGAGTCTCCACTACTACCACACAAAATGTATGTCATTATATCTGTAAAATTGCCTTAATTATAATCACCTTTGTGTGCATGTGATGTGGTGGAAACTTTCTTTCTTTCTTTCTTTCTTTCTTTCTTTCTTTCTTTCTTTCTTTCTTTCTTTCTTTCTTTCTTTCTTTCTTTCTTTCATTCTTTTTTCCTCCCTTCCTTCCTTCTCTCTCTCTTGTTTCCTTTCTTTCTTTCTTTCTTTCTTTCTTTCTTTCTTTCTTTCTTTCTTTCTTTCTTTCTTTCTTTCTTTCTTTCTTTCTTTCTTTCTTT